ACCCTATCAAAAAAAAAAAAGAATCGCATTTTCTTTATTTTAGGAATACAATTAACCATTTTCTTAATCGTCTCGTTTTCTAATCCCGTTCTCTACTCCATGTTCATTGAAGAACCATTGAGAAAACAAAATTTGGAAAATTAAGCATGAATTGTCATTGTGTAATGTAATTTTCCTAATATTTGCATGTATTCTTAAATCAAACAACTTATCTTGAGCAATTATTTCATGTTTAAGTGTTGTTTTCATGTTTTTGTTTCAAAAAAAAAAAAAGGAGCGATACAAGAAAGTTGTGTTTGACAACGAAGCCGCATATTACCCTTTTTTAATAAGTGAAAATCATCTTAATCAGTTATTCTTTGAATTCATATTTGTAACATAATATTCATATGTGATCGTTTACAAATCACATAAATCAAAATTATTGGATCCCGAATTTGCAATATGGAAATATTATATTATTAAAGTTCTCATATCCTTGTTATCTGTACCAATTTTTCCGCAGATTTATGTTTGATCTTAATGTGTTAGTTTTCTTTTGTGACAATGACAATCATAAATAAATAACTTTTTTGCATGTGGAGGTTGACAAACTCAATTACTTTTTGGTGAGTGGTTGGTTGTTAAAGCTGATTTCAAGCAAAGTAGTTATGGGAAACACATGACCTTTTGACTAAACCTTTCCATAATCCCACCTGGAATTCCATTTAACCTATACTTTATAAATAAGAGCATGCAATATAACATGCATGTTTCTTAGGGATGACGGTAGATCGAAGCAAGTGTGGGGGTGGGGTGTAGTGTCCATCCTGGTATCCGTTTCAAAAAATATTCGTTCATTTCTAGTTCACCCCCTGTTAATGGGTAAAGTTTTCATTTTCATCCCTGTCTACAGGTAAATTTGTAATCTCAACCCCTCCCCGTCCCCCGCCTTCACCCCCGTCCACCTTACCCGCCCAAGCTAACATAATCTAAAATTCTAAATAAATCTTATATTCTAAATAATACAACATAATTATAGAATATCATAACATAATTAAAAGTTTGTCATTTATAACATAATATAATTAAAACCTTGACTACAACATAATCCAACATAATATAATTAAAAATTTGTCTCCCTTGTAAATCTAACACAATATCATGCAACACAACATAATGTAACATAATATAATCTAACATGAAAAAATATAAAAACTCAAAGATTTACACTTTTACAAGTCAAAACCATAAAAACAAATAAAAAATAAAATAATTTTCAAAAGAAAAAAATTATTAATTCAATAATATGTAGATTTGTATTCACAACATCATGTACATAATAATAGTAATAGAAGTAGTAGTAATAATAATAATAACAGGTAAAGCGGAATAAGGAAGGGCAGGGTGAGGGTAAGTATCAGTCCATCTTCGTCTTCATTCCCGTACGGGTTTATAGAGGTATTTTCATATACGTTCACCGTTTAATACGTATGATCCATCCTCGGTCCAAACAAAACGAGTTTGAACGAATACCTATTTTTACCTGGTCCACTGCCATCCCTAATGTTTCTTTCCCAAATTAGATCTGTCTGATTAAGATATCCTCAAACTGACTTGGGATTACTCTACTTGTAAAGACTCATATAATCATATTACAGCTTGCCATGGGTACTTTGGTAATTTGGGCGACCAGTTGGTCCCCCACTATGGTCACGGTGTAGTCTCAGAAAGAGTTACTGTTGAGATAAAGGAGAAGACAAGTTAAAAAAACCTGAGAAGAGAAGAGACAATGAGTGTTTGGAAGGAATTGGATTTTTGTGTCCCCCACAGCATCTTCTTTCGGCAAAACCTGGCCTTGGACAGCTCAATAATTTTCAGTAGACGAAATTACCCCTCTCACTGTATCCTTTTTGGATCCATACTTCCTTTTTTTTTTTCAAAAAAAATAACGTTTTAGCGGTATCGTAGTTTTCAAATTTGCATAAAGCGTGGTGTCAAAATTTCATGTGCGGGTTCTCTTTCATTGAGTTCATAAATATTTATTTTTATTTAACATGTTTGGCAGATCCACCTATTTATAATCTAAATTTTTTAGGACCAAATCAAACATGTCGACTTTGCTATGCTTTTGTGTTAGGGTTCCAAATTGTATTTACAATATTTTAGCAGCGAAGTGTTGTGAATGCTAGATGAGGTGTAGAATGAAATATTATTCACTCATTTATCGAGCATATAAAAGGCTATGTACCGCATTGATAGAATATTTTGTGATTGTATGTTCGCGTGTCAATTTATCCGTTTTATTCGATTAAAAAAAATTTACCCGTTTTATTCGATTAGGAGTGGATATGAATACCCGAGAATTATTTTACAGCTAAAATTATGAAAATCTTAATTAATATTTCAACCATGTTACTGTCATCAATGAAATTCATGTAAACTTAGTTTATAAGCATTTTAAGTAGATCATCTATTGTAGGACAAATTGCAATGATCCCCTGTAGTGGCATTCTAACATGATTATTCGCTTTGTAAAAGGAAAGATCTACAGGAGCATTTGCTTCAAATTTTGTTGACATTGTGAGTGCTCGCAATTATTTTTGAGTGAATTAGGAATTAGACTTTCCAAAAATATAAACTACTTTGTGGAGCTTGACGTTCTCTCACATTCTAAAAATTATCTATACTCGATTAGTTCAATATTAAATTTCTTGGCAATTCATTCTTCGCTTTATTGTAAAACCTAGTTGAGACTTTTTTTTTATCTCGTTGAAGAATTAATTTTAGTGGAAGAACAACAAATGCTTTTGTTTAGGGTATTTTACGATCTGAATCTAATTTTGTTATCGGGGTTACATAACACTAAATTACCAAAAAATTGTGAAGGTCAGCTATAAAATTATTCTTACAAAATAGGGAGCAATGTAATAAATATAATTATTGTTTTTGATAAATATATGGGTTAGGTATTTCACATCTTTTATAAATTTGTTCAAAGATGGAACCAATGTATCTCTGCCATTGATGACGGAGGTACATGTAATTCTTAAAAACCAAATGATTCTAACATGACTACACGTAAAGGTTTGATCTACTTGGTTCTTTGTATTTTACATCATCTTATGAAACCATAAAAATATTTTATGAAACATTTTTTTTTTTTGACATAAAAAGTTATTACATAATCTTATTTGTTTTTTGTCGCAAAATTTATTTGATTATATGATTCTAAAAATAATTCTATAAAATAAAAAATATTAAAATTTATTTGGACAATAACCCAAAAAATAGTAAAAGTAAAAATGTGGTGGTGATATGTGGTATTGGGAAAAGAATAATGGAAGTGTGATGGTGGTGGTAGTGGTAGAAATGTGGTAGTGGGAGTGTGGTGGTGGTGGTGGTGGTATTGGTGGAAGGTGGTGACGGGAATGTGATTGTGCAAGTATGGTGGTGGTGGTATTTTCTAAATTCTGGAAATATTGTTTTTAAAAATAAAATAAAATAACTTTAATTTGTTCTTTAAATTTATTTAATTTTCAAAAAATAAAAACAAAAAATAATTGATCAAATAATTTTTCTTTCAAAAATTATTTTTTATAAAAATAAGGTTAATTGCAAATTACACCCTGAAAAATTATTCGAATCTCAATTTATACCCTCAAAAATCAAAAATCAAAAATCTCAATTTGCACCCTCAAAGATAGAAATTTGTATCAATGTGCACCTCCAAAGATCAAAAATCTCAATTTGCACCCTCAAAAATAAAAATTTGTATCAATGTGTATCCCCAAATATAAAAAATCTCAATTTACACCTTCAAAGATAAAAATTTGTATCAATGTGCACCTAAAATTAAATTGATAAATTATACCTAAATCCCTTATGCTGATCACTTAATCATTTGGATCGCTTCACATTTAGAATATTACTCATACATCTCATGACATTTATGCACGTATAACACGTAATTCCTTTTCGTCAATATCTGTTAATATAACCGTTAAAAAATATGATTTTATTCTAATAAAAAATTATAATTTCATATTACCTTTTATTTTATGGATCCAATATACTCTAAAATTCAAAATCAAGCTTACCATTTGAATGTCTAATAAAATAAAGGGTTGCACATTGAGTGATATATTACACTGGATATAAAAAATATTATATAAATATCTACATTCTTTTGGACATTCAAATGGTAAGTTTAATTTTGAATTTTATAGTATATTGGACTCATAAAATAAAATTTAATATGAAATTATAATTTTTTATTAGGATAAAATTATATTTTTTTAACTGTTATATTAACAGATATCAATGAAAAGGGGTTACGTGTTACACGTACACAAACGCCATAAGATGTGGGAGTAATATTTTAAATGTGAAGGAGTTCAAATGATTAAGTGACAAGCATAAGGGGATATAGAAATAATTTATCAATTTAGTTTTAGATGCACATTGATATAAATTTCTATCTTTTGGGGTATAAATTAAGATTTTTTTATATTTGAGGGTGCACACTGATACAAATTTCTATCTTTGAAGGTGTAAATTAAGATTTTTTATCTTTGGGGGTACACATTGATACAAATTTTTATTTTTGAGGGTACAAATTAAAATTTTTTATTTTTAGAGGTGCACAATGATACAAATTTTTATCTTTGAAGGTGTAAATTAAAATTTTTAATCTTTAGAGATATAAATTATAATTTAAACTATCTTTCGAGGTACAACTTACGATTAACTCTAAAAAATAATTTTTGAGACCTAAACAAAATCGGCCCTTTTTATGTCTCTTTTTACGCGGGTTGTTGTGTGTAACTAAAAGGAGCCCTTGGGTGTATTGGTCATTAAGTGCTTTGTCATGCCCAAATATAGTAAAAACAACTTCATCCCCCATCCCCCACGCGCTCACACACACGCACACACACACTCTTCTTTTTCCTCTTTTTTTTTTCTTTCTTCTCTCTCATATGCTTTCATTCCAGTAAATCATTAGAGCAAAGACAAACGCGTATTGGATTTTTCAAAGACCTCCCAACCTCCCCCTCTCTCTCTCTCTCTCCCCCTCCCTCTCTCTCCATTTTTCTGGTTCTCCAATGTCCTTCACTGGATATGATATAATCTTCTCTGCAAACCAACTCCAACCGTTGGATGCCCACAAGTTCATCCTCTGTTTTTTCTTCTTTGAATAAATTCCCAATATATATAAACATATATACTACATAACTAACTTCTTTATTCTCTGTGTGTGTGTTTATGTTCTACTCTGTTTCGTCCTCTGTTCATGGCTGCCACTACTACTGCGACACCACAAATCATCAAAAGCCACAACACCCCCAACGGTAGCAATGAAGTTAGCCGGAAAGAGATTCAAGCGGCCATTGCAAAAGCTGTGGAGCTCAGAGCTCTTCATGCTGCTCTGATTCAGGGTAATAGCCCTGCCAATCTCAGGTTTCCCACTTCCTCCCCTGCTTCACACCCTGCGTTTTCTGCCCAAGATTACCCAATTTTTACACCAGTGAGTAGTTATTTTCTCTTCTATTTTTCTTGTTCATAATTCAATTTCCTGAACATCTGGGATGGTTTCATCTATTTTTCTTTTTTTTCTGGTAATTTCATTGTGATCTGTTATTGATATTGACTTATGCATTTAATAAAGGTTTTAAAAATTCTTACTTGTAAATTGTGATCTTGTTCATTGATTGTTTAGAATTTCAAGGAGTTTTTAATGGGGTTTGCCATTTGATGTTGCTAGGTTATGTATTTTTGGACTTCTTACTTTGTAGGTTCATGAGTATTGTTTAACTAAAACACGAAAATCCCATTCATAATATGAACTGGGCATCACCCTGTGTCACAAAACAATCTCTCACTATGCAGGGAAGGGCTGCATACTTAGCACCTTCCGAGCAGCAGGAGCCCGTGCACTGGGCTACCTTTGCACTTGATTTTTCTTTAGTTCCTTGGACCATGGTCCAGATTTAAGATATCTGTGCATGATTAAAATAACAGAGGAAATCCTTATCCCAACTGCACTCAAACTTTGTTGCCAGACATTGCTTCCAAAAGAAGGCTTTAAGATTAAAGCCTTAATTAAATAAGACCAGTATTTCGATTTCCCCAATTTTAATAATTGCCTCTCTATCCTTCATAGTTTATGAGAAATACCTTTTCTGTATGGGAATTTCTTGAGAAGGTTACATTTGCAATAAAATAATCACAGAAAGTTGATTTATCACTTATGTTCAACATTTATCAGTTCTGTTCCACTATCACAATGTGCAATGACTACAGAATTTTTTTTTTTTACAGAGTTATGAAGACGAACCATTACCGGGGTATCAGCAAATTCGACCCGAAAATCAAAATTTTGCTGGAAGTTGGAATGAGTTTGGACTAGGTAAAAGTGATGATGAAAACACCCTATCCGATTATGAAAAGTTCAATGCATCTTCAAGGAAGGGATTTCCCTCTGAATTGCTCAACTTAGAACCCCATATATGCCCAGCTGACGATCAAAGATCGGTCACAGGTTCTTGTAGTAACCACATTACAGTGCTCCACCCATCGCCTGGAACCGATTTCTACAAGTCTAGGAGAAACAGTTTTGCAGATTTGAAATCAGTATCATCCTGCAATAAATGCAAGCCTGGTATCATAACTATTGAGACTGATGGTGGCACGAAGAGCGCAAAGAATTCTAACATTGTTGTGCCCTTAACATATTCACACCCATCTATTCAGTCACAACCAAAACACCGGGGATTGAATTTTTCATGGTTGTTTCCACGGATAAAGAAGAAGACTAAGAGCGAAAATTCACTAAATCAAGCAGAATCAGAGGAGGTTACCCAAGTTTTTAAAGACATAAAAATAATGTCAACTGAGATTTTGAGGAAAGAACTTATGGAAGCGAATGAAAGCCGAGATGCGGCTTTAGCAGAAGTTTCGGAGATGAAGTCCTCATTGGGGGAGCTAAAACAGAAACTGGAGTACTTAGAGACTTACAGTGAAGAACTGAATAAGGCTTTGAGACGAGCAGTGCAAGAAGACGATTTACAAGTTCCTGAAAAGCTTGGCAATTTTCCGAAAAGAGGGAAATCTATTGATGGGAATGGAGAAAACTTGATGCCAGTTAGCCACGAAGTGATGGTAGAGGGTTTCTTGCAAATTGTATCAGAAGCAAGATTATCAGTAACACAATTATGCAGGATTCTTGTTGGACAGATTGAAGAGACTGACAATACCCTGATGGAAAACTTAAATCGGGTTCTTCAACCGTATAAGCTGTCCTTAGAGTCCAAGCACTCGAAGGCAGTTTTGTACCATTTGGAAGCTATCATAAGCCAATCACTACACCAAGATTTTGAGAATTGTGTGTTTCAGAAGAATGGCTCGCCAAAGCTCTTAGACCCTCAACAGGATCGCCAGGCACAGTTTGCATCTTTCGTCGCACTGAGAAATCTAAGCTGGAACGAAGTGTTAAGAAAAGGGACTAAATATTACAGCGAAGAATTCAGTACGTTCTGCGATCAGAAGATGAGTTGCATTATAACAACTCTGAATTGGACACGACCGTGGACTGAACAGCTCCTCCAAGCATTTTTTGTAGCTGCAAAATGCATTTGGTTGCTCCATTTGCTTGCATTTTCGTTTAATCCGCCTGTGGGGATACTAAGGGTTGAAGAGAACAGAAACTTTGATCCGAATTTTATGGAGGATTTTTTTATGGACAGGCAAAAGTCACAGGGTCCAAGCAGGGTAAAGATCATGGTCATGCCAGGGTTTTATGTGCAGGAGAGAGTGCTTAAGTGCAAGGTTCTTTGCAGGTATAAGTCTGTACCCTAAGCAATTATGGTCCAATTTATTTTGTAGCCTCAAAATTGGTGTTGATATTGTTCAAAAGGGTTTCTTGAGTTGTTGATGGGAAATGGAGTTGATAAATGGCTTAGTAATCAGATGAAGCATTGGGAAGGGGTGTGAAGAAATGGAATGCTTGCTTTCTCAATTTTGTAATGCAAGGATTGATCCAATAGATAGGTGCGCTATTATTATGCCTTCTACTAGGGTCCCTCTCGGGTTCATCTTTGGATGTTTTCTTATTTGCTCGTGTTGATTAGATAGTAATATTAAGCCATCTTTCAAGCTTCGTTTTTTACCTCCACGTGGGATCTTTCTCATTTGTTATAGATTTATTATTCAAACATTGTAATAAATGATTATTTATTGCAATAATTATTTATCGATTTATATCAGAATCAGAAAAATAAACTGAACTCATGTTCCTAATCATCCCATTGTCCCCTCTCTTATCTCCTATAATAACTAATTTTCCCTGCACATATTTTCTATTTTTGTTTTTGACAATTCTCCGAGAAGCTTTAAACGTAGATAGAATTCCGCAAAGTTCTAATCCTGAAGGGAACCCATACAGGGCATGTGGGGCAGTCTTATTAGGACACTATTTATTTTCTAGTCTTGAATTATCATAGTTGAGCTTCTTTGGCAATTTTGATAAATAGGCTGTCAGTTGAATAAATTGAAAAATTGAGGAAAGGGTGACAATTTTCAACACAAGACGACATTAATATGACATGAATTAAATTCGATTCGAAGTTAGTGAATTAAGATTTATAGATTCCCGAAAATGGCATGACCTGCTAACATAAATAATAAACAAGTCGAATTAATGACAAGCATGAATAACCCGAAATTGACAAGATAAATACATTTAACTAATATTGCACGAATAATATACCTGATGTTTGTTATTTTTTATCAGTTATTGATATGAATACTAGTAAAACGAGAGGATTTTTTGTTTGTTATTATACAAATTTAGTGGATTTTTACTTGGCAAAAAAAAAAGTGAGTTGTAAGTTGATCGAAATAAAATGAGGTCTTAGTCTTTGTAGATTTTTTATTCATTTGTTATGTGGACCAACCCCAACACGACATAATAAAAGGCAAGTCAGTTTAATATTTAGACATCTGACATAAGGAATTGAATATGTTACGTTAAGGCTGATTAGGACTCGACACAAATTCAAAATAATAAGACACAAACACGACTCAATTGATTTAGGCAATGCTATTGGATCATAATTTTGTTCAATTTATTACATTTGCTCCCAATTTTTTAAATAATTGTATTTTTAGTCCTATTTTTTTTTTATTCAGATTTTCTTTAGACTAAATGAAAACAAATTTTGGTGTTTAATTAAATATTCTTACAAACTAGAAGACCACATAGTCATCATTGTTGTGAGGACCAGACAACCTTAATGTATAAAAGGGCAAGTCACTACCTTGCCATAGCATGGGTAATACAAAATTAGAGTAGCAAAAACTTCAATTATAGTGGACTAGTCAATATCGTCAACTTGATAAACTAATTAATTTTTGTGTGCTGGTTTCTCGTTTCCTTACTCTCATACACAGTTCATACACTCCACATAGAGCTCTCTCGATCTTCTAGTTCACACTTCTCTGTTCTTACACACTATGACCATCAATTCAGATTTTACTTTGCACAAGGGCGCAATATCGTTTTGTGTTTTTTTCTTTGGTCGAGTAAAGAGGGTTTGGCGCATTCGAACCTGAACTATTTAGGTAAAAAAACACTATTGGCTCCTGAACTATGTCACTAATTTCAAATAAGCCCCTAAACCAAATTATATCTCAATTTACTCCTTTAATTTTCAAAATTGATTCAATGTTGACTCTTGTAGCAGATCCGTCAATTTTCTAATGAAAAGTTGCATGTGAGCCTCACGTGTTTGACATTGAGGGTTTTTGTCCCCTTCTTTCTTGCTTTTCTACTCTGTTTTTCAACCTCAAAATAGAGCAACTCTTGCCTGGGTGTCACATAGGCTTGACAAAATTCAATACGATCCAAGTATTTGACACAAATTGATACAAAATTAGAAAATTTTAGTTTGATCTTAACAGATTTTGATGATAAATAAGTTGATCCATTGGACCTGTCTAATCAAGAAGTTGCATTCGGGTGAAGCACCTTAATCTATTTACAACCTGCAAACTCTTTTAATAATCAGTGTATCAAATCTCAAAAATGACTATTATTCATTTCCTTTCCTATGCGTTGGTAGCTCTCTGAGGGGTAGAATCCCTTTCTTCACGAGTTTGTTTGTTGGATTGCTATCTGAGTAGCTAGTAGGCAGCTTTCCTAAGACAATATCAGAGGCTTCAGATGCTAGTTGGTTTAGTCTGAGCAGTCTCTTAGTAGTTTCCTCTATCCCTATTAGCCGTTCAAAGCAGAATCTAGCTGTAGCTTCTACATCTTCTTCTTCTACGCCTTTTTTCTCCGTCCATAGGAAGCAAGTTCGAGAAAGGGAGGGGGGGGGGGGGGGGGGGGTTTTCATGTAACTATGTCCTATACTTCCTATACTAATTCCTATTCCTGCTATAAGAGATAGGCCTTCTCCTTTTTTCTTTTGTTAAAATGTTGGATAGTGGACTTTGGTTCATGTTTTGGATTGTGAATTTCTGGTGAAATAGTAATTTGTTCCATTGTTATTTTTTCTCAAATTATACATATTACTCAGTCGTGCTAGTAGTATTGAAAAAAGGTGAAACCAGTGAAATGGTGGCGAGTTAATAGATTCGTCATGTGAATTTGAGAAGGTCTTAAAATGATTTGTATATTTAATCGGTTACATGGATCATGTCATGTAACCCATGTAATGAACGAGTTGTTTCCAGATTTCATATTGAATCAATTAAAAAAAGTTAAAGGGATAAATTGTGACAAAATTTAATTTAATGGCTTATTTGATCAATTGGCATAGTTGAAGGGCCTATAATAATTTTTTACCCTTAAATTTATTTATCAAATATGATTAGATTATTGGTTCTTAAGAAATTCATATATGAATTTTAATAATGAAATCCCAGAGATATTCAAACCAAAAATTTTCAATCGAATTCGAATTAGACATTTGATCAAAATGCAATCCATTTGCATGCACCAAGGACCTAGTGGTGAACCTACGAGTTGGCGTAGCAGCAAGTGCTTTGTGCCTTTGTCAAATTTGAACTGGGTAGCTCGATTCTGTTATCAACTCAAAGAGATAATAAATTTGGTGGCCAAACCTGATCCTGCAACCAAATGTTGTTATCGTCTAATTCATTCCTATTAATCTTCTACTAGTTCAGTGGGTTGGAACTTTCCCACAGCGGTGCCCGAATCGGATTTTATTGGCATTAATTTTGAGCACCTAATACATTTTGGTTACTATGTCACAATATTGAATGAAATTCATTACTAATCCAATGGTCACAAGACATTATTAACCAAATTAAGCACAAACAATATTATTATAAAAAAAATTCATCCACTTAAGGCTTCTTTTAAATCCCCTCTTTGTTTTATTTTTTGTAGACATATGACACGGTTGTTATTTTTATGGTAAATAATCTATCGAAAAGAAAACAAACTTTGAAGGGGTTTCACTTGTGCTATTATGAATGGGTAGTATTTAAGGGGTATGGCATCTTGATGGTTTGAATAGACAAGTGTATAACTTATGAATTCATTTCACGGAAAGTGCCATAATTTTGGATTTCGTAGGGTACTTTATACAATTTTATAGCTTTTGTTTAAGTTGCATGGTTAAAATGACTTATATGTTATTAGGGCATTGTTTCATGGCTAAACTATTCACACACCATTTTTCTCCTCGAGGCAGCTAAAAAGAGTGAGAATAGAAATTTATACATCGTATTGCAGCAAGAAATAGGTTTATAATCAGACATTCTAGTGGGATTTGGAATTTTAGGAATAAGAGAAATAATAGTAGCATTAAGCTCCCTTAGCATTCTACCACTTGTGAAGAAAGAAAGAAAGAACAGCATTAGTCACCTCATTTCCTACAATAAGCCAAGTTTTCTTAAAGAATTCAGCAAAAAAACCATCAGGTCCAGTAGCTTTCCCATCTTTGAGGGAAAGCATAGCTTGTCTAATCTCTTTGCTAGTGATGTCCCGACCAATGAAAGTCAAGTCTTCATCAGAAACCTTACTTTGAATATATTGCACAATTCAGTGCATCTGTAGAAATGACTCGGGACGGGATGAGTCCAAGAGATTCTAAAAGTACTGGAAAACTTCACTATTTACCTCTTCAATTTCAGTAACTTTACTTACTTCCTCCTTCGATTGCAACAATTCTTATATTGAGTCTAAGTTTACTCATAGTCTTAAAAAAAACTGGTGTTTTGATCACCAAGATTAAGCCACTGTATCCTGAATTTTTGCTTGGCAAAAGTTTCTTTAGCATCTCTTAACCCCAAATAGTTCTTCAGCTTCTCCTTTTCCTCCCTCCTTAACCCCTGATTCAGTGGATCCCTATCAAGTTGCCTCTGAATATTCATAAGACTGTAGTCTGTTTTCTTGAGCCTTTCAGAAATCTCGCTGTAGGATGTTCTGTTAAGCTCCTTTAAATACACTTTCAAGGCTCTTATATTTTTGATACCCCTTATACATGGGTACCCCTTTGTAATGTTTATGTGATGCTCTATTCACAATTGACTTGTACTCATATGTCTTGTCCAAAAATCAAAAAAAAAATTGAAAGGCTTCATGCATTTTGGTAGCCCCTACCCATTCTGATTAATTCAGGAGAATGATTAGAAACCCAAAGAGTGAGGAACTCGGTCTGTGAAAGTGGATAGTCTCTCCCCCAACTTTCATTCACCAAAACCCTGTCTAACTTTCTAGAAATGATACCTCCATCTAGCGTCTTATTGCACCAAGTGTATTGAATCCTAGAGAATTTCAGGTCTTTAATCTCAGCTTGATAAAGTCACTCGAAGAAATCTTCCATACCTTTGTCTCTGCCAGGAGTTCCACCCAACTGCTCATCAATTGCCCTAAGGATATTAAAATCACAAAGGATAACCCAAGCACTATTCCTCAGTACAGAAGAATTTTGAACCAGATTCAATCAAAGTTGTTTCCTTAATCCTTCCTCATTCTGAGCATAGACAAAAGGCACACAAAAGACAGCATGTTGTGCTATAACATATACTTTACAATGGATAACTTGATCCATTTGCTCCAACAGTTGGACATCAAAAGAATTCGAGTTCCAACAAACCCATATCCTCCCTCTAGGTGAAGATTCATTATTATTCCATAAGCACCACCT